GAGGACTAATGATAACCATAAACAGCTGATCACACAGGGATCCCACACGGGGTTAACGAGGGGGCGTGGCACACGGAAGGAGCGGACGATCGGGGCAGGACACGTTTTTTTTTTAACTTTACACATTGCTTGGATACATTTATTTTCTTACTTTACAAATTACTTTTTTGATAAATGTGCTTAGATGTGTTTAGTACAGTATATGCTCTTCTTGTTTTATCCGATTCATTTTGTGTTTAAATGCTAAAAAAAAAAAAATATTTAGGTGTAATTTTTTGGGGCCGGGAACCCCAAAAATTTTAAATATTTTCATTATGTCCCCAAAAGTAGGGAAATTTCAGGTTTTACTACACTTTGGGGACAATTTGGTCTTCAAACACACACACACACACACACACACACACACACTAGTGGCCAAAATTGTGGAAACACTTCCAATTTTTATTCTAGTTCCTCCAATTACTTATTTAATCATGCATCATATGATATTTCTAACAGTCTTTGATTGTTTAGAAACACTACCACCAATATTTGTGTAGTAATTTTTAAAGCGTAATGCCAAAAATGCTATGTGTTTCCACAATTTTGGCTACTAGTGTATGTATACACACAGATGTGCTTTTTTACTGAAGAAATGGGGTCTTTCTGTTCTGATGTCTGATTTCTAATAGTCACATTCTCATGTATCTGTAGTGCCACGGTGAGATAATCCATGTTGAAGTGCTCGCTGGGAATTGTGAAAATGCTAGTGAAATGTTCACAAGGCCATTCGTAACTCAATTTAAAGATTTTTATTTAATGCCTCACAAAACCCAAATAAGTGCTGGTGGCAGTAAATCTGCTGACCAACATCTGAGGTGATCGAATTTGGGCGGGACTCCCCTTTTAATTGGCAATTACAGTAAGCATAACTACATTCACCAGGACTGTCACCCAGGCGGGGGGGGACTGGGGAAGCGACGGCCGGATAGATGGGAAAATAAATGCATCTGAAAGATGATTTTGCAGAAGTAATTGTGATGAAGGGCTAAATGCGATAGGAGTGCTCTCCCCTGTGAAAGAAAATGAAAGGCAAGGATTCCCTGAAGGGCTGTCGCTTGTGAATGGGACACCCCTCACGTATCAGATCCACTGACACACACACTCTCTCTCTCTCTCTCTCTCTCTCTCTCTCACACACACACCCACATGTCGGGTAAACATATCTTTATGGGGTACATACATGCACACACACGCACGCATGCAAAGAAACTACTTATCACATTCAGATTAATCTTAAATAAGTTTAAGACATTTTTTTATAAACAGCCCTTAGTGCATTTAAATCCAAATGGATGAACATACAAAATTTAACGCTAAATTATTTTCAGAATTATAGGATTTCCCTCTAAAAAGATTATAATTATAGTTAAGGCGTGTAGTAGGAGCCTTGAATATTCACACTGGTATTGGACAGAAGACTCTCTTACAGAGACATGGCAGTATATTATCTTACAGCACATATTATTTGAAACAGTGAGTCCGGAAATACCCTTGGTTCATAATGCATGGGTTGTACTACAGTTATTCTACAGAATAAACCGTCATGGAGGTCAGACTAGCCTGGTTCAGGGATGTTTGAAAACAGTGTTCCAGCTTCCGCAAAGGCAACATCCATCACTGAAATGGAAAAGTCAAGTCTGAAAAGGCAGGTGACCAGATGATTGCAGATGGACACGAAACCATTCAGATCCGTCCTGTCCATATACATCCTTTCATGATAGTCGGTCCCCACCACAATCTTCCATCCTCTTCTTTTTGTGCCCCCCTAGTCACCAAGAACGCTGCTTCGACTCCCCACCGTGCCGTAGCCGTTCAAAGCCACCATCTTCAGCTGGCCCGTGTCGCCGACAGGTTGGCTGTCCAAGACGCCGTTCCTGGCGGCAAACATCTGGCTGATCTCCACAAAGGTCTTGTTCCTGGTCTCCGGGATGATGAGGAACACGTAGACGGCCACCAGTGCACAGATCCCAGAGAAGAGCAGATAGCAGAAGGCCCCCACAGTCATCTGTCCATGAGGAACCCCGACTTCCCGTTAGTCAAGCCACACTTTTTTTAGCCTTGGCACTTTTGACTAAGCTACACTTCAACGGGGAACATTTAAAACACACCCATAATTAGGAAGTACTCCATATATACGCTATTAAGGAGAAAATATTTCTAAAGCAAGTAATAACAGAAGTCATAGAAGAAATTAGGAGTTCGCTGAATCATCTCTAAATTCAAGTATTTTTTTAATCGATTGTCGGTAGATCAAATGTTTTATTCAGCTAAATTATCTAATAAAGGAAGATAAAATCTTATTGGTCTTAAGGTGCATCAGGTCAGCCTACCCAAGGTGAGCTAAGGTCAGCCATGTGTGCTTGGACCATGAAAGGTTTTATGTCCTCTCTAATCTTCCAGCTTTTTTTTGTATTTTATAATGTAATGTGGTTAATAAGTTTGACAGTTTCAGGTCCACTTGCAGTTAAGGTTTTTAATAATGCACATCCTTTTTAAGGCAGTTGAGGTTGCTCTATAAAAAATAAATGTGTTTGAACTGAACTCAATAAATTTTAAATGACAATAAAGAAAATGAAATTAAGTATATTTCAATAAAATACAAACTGCATTCTTTCTATTTGGTAGTAAGGTATTCTCTGATGATCACTGCATGGTTTCCTGAGTTTACCTGTGTGGCTTGCAAAACAAGGATAATTATAAGCGTATTTAAGCTGAGATCATAAAAATAAGACCGTCTTCGGTAACGAGACCCCATTTGTTCTGGAAATGAACCAACTTACCACAACAGACCAAGTTATCTAGTGTTGATCCAAAACTGCTGGTACCACAAAAAACCGTCGATTACCATATTACTACGTAGACACGCCCAGGTTACGATGATCCGTGTTACAAAACCTTGACTTTATGATGGTTACTTTCAGTACATTATTCAATAAAATACATAAGATATTTAACAGTTCATTATAAAAGCAGGTTTTGTGTTAGCAAACTTACAGTTGGGCAAAATATATTACTAATATAAGTGTTCTAAGCATGTTTAAAGGCAGGCTAGGCTATGATGTTTGTTAGGTTAGGTGAACTGTACTAAATTGCATTATCGGAACATGACCCCATCGTAACCCGGGGAGAGGCTGCAATAAGGGTCATAGACGAGCAACAAACATCAAAATTGGTGACACTAGAATACATTTTATACTTTTCTTTGATAGTTTAAACCTGCATCTTTTATTAATGGTACAGAAATCTAAATCTCATGCTCATATGATCATTTCCAGTGACATCCTCCCAACGCATAGCTTTAGTGACCTTCTAAGGAACAGATTGCACTTGACTGAGTACAAGGAACCTCCTTACTCTATGATTAGGCAGCCCGGGAAGAAAAAAACTGCAGTGTAATCCTGACCCAAGGCTACAGCGCACAGATGGACAAAGAACTGAACACGTTCTAAAGAGAAGTCCCCGAGCGCTGAGGCTAACAGCCAGAGAACAGAGGAATGCCCTCACCTGCAGGAAGGGGAAGACAAAGCCGACCGTGAAGTTGGATACCCAGTTGAGAGAGCCGCCCACCATATAGGCGGCGGGTCGGTGGGACTGCCTGAAGAGCTCGGCCGTCATCAGGAACGTCACGCCGGCTGCACGGGGACGAGACGCACACCTTCTCACACCTCCCCCTCTGTAGGACGTGCACTTTGCAGGTACGGGTACACGTCCGAAGATACAATGCACTTCCTGCCGAGGTCAGCTTACAGTTTTAGGTCTAGACGAGCTGCGGGCGGAGGCCTTTAAATTTATTAGGACGGCTGTCCGATGATCTCCAGGCCTCAATAGCGACAGTGTAGCTTTTACAGCTTAAACATATGCACGTTGTATACCTTCTATACCTTCCACATTTTCAGTATATGTATTTCTGTATTTTCTATATCTATCTTTGGAGCGACCAGGTGTACATTTCACTACATGTTGTACCTGTATAACGATGTACGTGACAAATAAAGGAATTTTGGAACTTAATCTTGAATCTTTAATAAAAATTTATGCTTCTTTTATTTCCCATCATATCTATACATCTGAGGTCGCAGGTTCGAGTCCCACCTCTGGCACTACCATCATTAGGTCCCTGAGCAAGACCCTTAACCCCAACTGTCCCTGAATTTAGAAAAATGTAAGTCGCTCTGGATAAGAGTGTCCACTAAATGCTGTAAATGTAAAATGTATAAAAACATGTACTTCCATTTAGATGGGGAACACCGTGGAGACTGAAGAGCCTAGACTTCTTTTCTCAGGAAGATATCCAAAACCCACTGTCTTCTACATCAGTGTTTCCCAATCCGGTCCGTGGGGACACACAGACAGTCCATGTTTTACTGGGAGCTGGGAGGAAGCAAAAACATGGACCATCTGTGGGTTCCCAAGGACCGGATTGGGAGACACTGCTCTGCCTCATGCTGTCTTACTGTTACTCACGTTGGCCCACTGGCTCAGAGCAAGTTTACTGCCACAACACTCCAGGGTCACCAGTTGCAGTCCATCCCTGGCACTTGATTTCTCTCTGACTACATGTTTCATTCCCAGAGAAAACAGACATGATGTTCAGCTGGATGGGAGACTTGTGTTTGTGTGTCTTTCCTGGTAACTGTCCCAGACAGGCGCGGAGAAGGTGTACCGGAAGTGCGAGGTTTCAGTCTGGCAGCTTTTTAGCATTTATATATATCTGTGTGTGTGTGTGTGTGTGTGTGTGTGTGTGTGTGTGTGTGTGAGAGCGGGTTTACCTATCCTTATGAGGACATAATGTCCCCATAACGTGATAAATATCAGTTTTTTTTCCCCTTATGGGGACCGGTTTGACTGCTATGAAAAAACTAAAAATGCAAAAACTCTTGTATTTTGTTAGGTTACTTATGGTTATGGTTAGGGCAGGGTAGGGGTTAAGGTTGTCATAGTTAGCGTTAGCATTTTTCCCATTGAAATGAATGAGCGGTCCCCATAAGGATATGTATACCCTACATGTGTGTGTGTGTGTGTGTATCACTCATATGAGTTGGTAAGTTGGTAACACTTTACTTGAGAGGGCACAAGTAACCTAGTAACTACTCAAGTACAAATCATGAACAGTTATAGTAACTGCATGAAATTCACAAACCCTTACGACTGATTAATGATGAAACATGGGATCAGTAGGTAACTAGCACTTAGTGTCTGGCTAATTAATACATTAACTAAGAGTGTACTACTGGACTATTTGTGCCCCCTCCAGTAAAGTGTTACCGACAAGTTCACACAATCCCATATGAATCATTTTAGTGCTCAATTGGCTGTCAGATGTCCCCATCCCCCACCCCCCCAAAGAAGAAATGCTTAAGAAATGCTGTCATATGGAGTTGGCATTCTATCCCTAGTCAGGCTGTACTCCCTCCTCTCTCCGGATCACCTCGCTCCTACTCCGCGCCAGCAGTTGTCGAAAGCGGCTGGATATGCCACTTTCCCATCCATTTGAGCCCGGTGTGTTGACCCTAGCTTTGCGCCGCAGTTCGGACATGTGAGCACAGTCGTTTTAGTTTTATACGACTCATACGTTATCAGCGACATGTTGCATATTGCATAAGAATAATGCAAAAAGGCATTAAGAAACCTCCTTAAAACGTACAATATTAGGTTATGGTACAGTAGTGAGGGGGATAGACCAAATGGCGTTATAAATCTTTAGTGGTTTAATATGTTAAAACAGCAGGAGGGCTCTGCAGCTTCCTAATCCCTTTTGGTTACACGTGAGAAATACGCACTGGCGAGGTCCTCCGCCCGGTGAAGTGAATTCATAAGGATGCGGGGCGCAGATTTCATTATTTGCACGTCGTAATTGCAGACGGAGGCTTAACGCAGTCAGACTGATAAGGGGTCCGAGCTGTAATTCATCGTTCACGCAGGATTTTCTCCTAAAAAGCCACATTCATCATTGTTTATGAACAATGAGCCATAAAAATCGTAATTAAAGACATAATTACAACGTCAGAAAAATCTGAGCCGGGAATGAATTATAGATCCGTCGGAGGGCTGAATAGTGCAACAATTGTGTACTCCGCTGCACTGTTCATTCATCATTCTCTCAGGGAGATATCCTCCGCTGTGTTTCTCATGACTTTTTGCCACATAGTGCAGGAATTAGCAGTTAAATACTTCTTGTGTTATTAAATACTTGATAAATAATGCTTCTTATGTAAATACTTGAATCGTTTTCCTATTCATGTGATTATTACCATCTTGGGCGTGGATTATAGTACTGCTCCACAATAAAACCCTGTAAGACCCTGTATCATGTGTAGTTATCTCAGTTCCCTACTGGGGGCGCTAGTTTACTCTGGTATTCGTATGAGAGTATTAGTTTTCTAAGGATTGACTATTAACTCCTGCAAATGTGACCAAACTCAAGCGTAATGCATTATATAAATGAGTAACATTTATTATTCGTAGATGCTGTTTGTAACTGAAAAGCTAGTATATGCAGTAATTACCTACACTGACAGTGCACAGAGTAGTGGAACGCGCGTTTTTCTCCCTAACCTGTGTTCAAACTTAATGTATCTATAAAACAGAGGAGAGGAGTCAACAATTTCACAAGTCCACCTGCAGAGGTCACCCTTTCCCTGTTTCACAGTGTAGGACAGAGACGGGGTACTCCGAAGGGCCGGACATAATTAATGGTAATTGATTATCATCACCACCCACTTTGATAATCAAGGGGAAAAGGTTGTACAGTAAGAGCCCTGCTTATGAGCAAAAACCAGCTGACCTGAAAAAAGGACACATTTACCTGCAGGGGACAGAATACACACACAAAGCAGTTTAGTTATTTTGGAATTTTAGCTCCATAAAATTCATTATTTTAATTAATTTTAGGAATGACACGGAGGTTGTACAATCCTACGAATTGCTTCGGTTAATAAATATTTCATGGACACTATGGGAAGAAGCCGCTGAGAGATTTACTGTAATACATGGTTACAACTATAAAAGCAGATTTACCTGGACCTATGCAGAAGCCTGCGATGATGCCAACCACGCAGACCACACTGACGTACCGCATGAAGGACACGTGAACCTATAATCAGAAAACGCGATCATGGTGCCCGGCTTAAATCGACAAGACTTACATTTTACTCGTGAGTTATGAGGGACCACAGTAATTGATAATACACAGACACGTTCATTAATCCTCACAATTGAATTAACCACGAGTGCGCCGTGGATGAAAACATGTACACATCTAATTAGCATTTTATGCCGAAGGTTAAAAAAGCAACCCAGTAAAAAAAAAGTAAACTGTCATGCCTTGCACAAGAAAAGATCAGTTATTTCCTAAAATCAAAAACAGAATTTGTGCCCCCCCCCCCCCCCAACAAAATGTCACCTTGGGACCCTTCTCCAATTTTACATGTAATTATATGTATTCAAGGGCCCCTATAAAGTGCAGGGACCCCTGCATTGGTCAGAGTATGAACAGGGGTGCTTTAAGGGGAGCAAATGTTGGGTGATTTCAAGGCTCCCAGAGATTTGTAACATAATTGGATTGGTGTGGATTGGGGCCCCAAAATTTCCAGCAGCACCCCTTAATATGAATATGCATTATCATGTATCTGTATAGGTCTGGGGTGACAACAATGCAAAGTATCGTTGTGCCTAAGCTTTCTGCTCGAGCGAGGCATGAAGGAGAACGGACAGGGGGAGAACGGACACACACACCTGCAAAATGAGCGAGAGCGTGATCCCGGCACAGCACACGCCCATGAAGCCAAAACCGCCAATCATCAGCGGCCGCCGGCCCACCCTCTCGATGGTGAAGCACTGGAGGGGGAAGCGGAGAGGGTCACTTTAGGCAGCCCTCGGGTCCCTGCCAGGTCCTCAAAGCGCTCGGAAGGAGAGCCACGACGAGACAGGCCGGCTTCGCTTTCCAAAATGGCATTAAAATTATAAAAATGAAATGTGATGACTTAAAAAAAGAGGGGAGATGACAGCAGAATGTATCGCTGTAATTTTATAACCTCCAGACAATCACTGTAATTTCATAACCTCATAATCTCCAGACTTCCTTTGGGTGCAATTTACCTCCCCACTGAGGGCCAATTGACATTGACAGCAATGAGCTCTTATGACTAACAGTGGGCTGGCGCCTCCATCCGCTTTTGCTGCAACACTAAATCCTGGCCAAGAAACACGAGTCGCCGCATGTGTGGCTGGGGAAGCGAAGGCCGGTCCTCCATTATGTGTGAGGGCTGTGCTCGGGGAGCCGAGAGGTTGAAACAAGAAACATAATTCTCCCAGATAGTCTGCGGTATCTGGTATATTAGAAATAGCACTGGGGTAACTTGTAGATCAGACCGAGCCGGGCCCGGAAAATTGTACCGGCGAAGACGAAAAGCAAAGTAAACCTAAGCTGACATGGAAAAGGGGCGAGCCGAGGATTGTTGTAAAGAATAAAAATTAGCTACCTTAGCGCCCTTTAGCATTCGCTCGCTCCAGACACTGACCTGACCCTCCTTAGTAGGAGGGAGCTGACCTAAATACAGCATGCGGCTAACTGATAAATTTCGGTCTTGGCTATCCAATAGCTATCCTCAAAGCAGCATGAATTAATGGCCCAGATTGGGGCCACCTTCTTGGGGTGTTGTCTTTGCAGGAGCGTTAATACAGGCGGACATTAAAGGGGCTATGGGGATTATTTTCACAAAAGGGGGCCACCTTCATTTCTTGCCTCAAGTACAGAAGCTGGCTGTAACAGGGCAGGGACGTGTTTCATGTGTCAGTGACGGCCGTGAGGATTCTTGTGTGATTGTTTTCCATGATGATCAAAACTCCTCCAAAAACGCAATGACTACTGTGCTATACATAAATGATACACGGAACGTTTAATGTTGTAGCTACTTACCCCTATAAGGCCTGCGATGACCTCAATAGCTCCAGTTGCGACAGTGGTGTACTGGATTTGCGGGATGGGGATTCCAGCGTTCTCGAAAATGGCGTTGGTGTAGAACCAGATCTAAATCAAAGTGTGGTTTTATTCGGAACTGAACATGCGACTAACTCTGGGCCACAGAACAGCTAGGATGGGTACACTCAAGCAAGGCGATAACACCTAAAAATATTTCGTTATTACGAAGGACACACAAATAGAGCAAGACTGGATGGTTGCCTGTTTTCAGACACAACCCTCACCGCGTCGATGCCGGACAGCTGCATGCCAATGTTGATGACCACGACGGACACAACCTGCCAGCGCACAGTGACGTCCTGCAACAGCTGCTTCACGGACACCGTGTCCACCAAAGAAAGGGATCGCTGCTCCTCCTGCATCTCCTCGATCTCCGACTGGATGTTACACCTGCCGCGGTACCACTTCAGTGCTGTAGGAGGCGACACAGCCAGTCGGCTTTAATGATTATCATTATAGATTTCCGGGGCCTCCGCTGAGCATCATGGGACATGTAGTCTGAGGGTCTTAAGTGTGCTACTGGTGTCCATAGTACGGTCGTCTTTACTGTGTGAGTATTAGCCCTTTGCAGGTTTATGTTCATGGAGGGAGACCTATTGTAAGCAGTCAGGATAAGCATATAATTACCACCAAATACAATGGAAGAAATTTTAGCTGTAATGAAGAAAATCTTTCACAGAGTATCTCTGTTACAATTTCAGGATCAGCAGCAGGTATAATAGGCAGGGGAAATACTGGACTACTCTTAGCACTGAACCTGAATTGCTTCCGTAACTTTCAAGCAGTAAAGTACTACCACAGAAAGTTACAGTTATAAACTACAAACTTTAAATTAGCCAATGTTGGATCTACTCTGCTGACCGATACTTTTTTCTTTTTCTTTTTTTTTTAGTGCACACCAGAAAAATATATTTATTCGAATCTGTTCTGGTGAATTTCTCCCCCTTTGCACCAATGTGTTTCACCTGCGATAGTGGCATGGATGTCACGTTTCTCCATCAGCAAGTACCGCGGGCTCTCTGGGAACCAGGGCAGCAGCGTCAGCTGAATGAAGGTGGGAACGACCACCAGAGACATGAACAGGGGCCAGTCTTCCTCCTGGGGGCATACGCAGCCATCTGTAGCCTGCAATCCTGTTAGCAGAACCCACCCCCCACACCAAAACCCACGGGGTCACTTTCTCCATACCTTCCCTAGCATTTCATGGAGTCCCAGGATCTGGGAAATGAAGACCCCAACACAGATGAAAATGCTGGGCATGAGTCCAATGAAGCCACGCAGGTTCTTTGGGGCAATCTCACCCAGAAACATGGGCACCACACTCAGAGAAATTCCTGCGATGGATGGGGAAAAAAGCAGCTGATCCCTCAGTCCTTCCTGCTGTGACTCCAGTCAAGAGACATGGAGCCAGATACAGAATTTGCACAGAACTAATAATCCACAGAGCAATGTCATCTGGATCCTGAGATTCTGGTAGAGCATCCCTTGGTGAATAGGCCTATGGGGAGCGTCACGATTGCGGGGCAGGCGAGCCGGAAAGCAGGCGAGCGGAGCCGTGAAGACGGACAAACAGGGTTTATTCGTAACGGAGGGTATACAGGCATGAACATCCACTGACACTACAATACGAGACGTACTCAGATGTGGACTAAATACACAAGACTAGCCAGAAATAACAGGACACAGGTGATCACAACCAGGAATTGACATGAGGTAATGAGGGGGCGTGGCACACACAAGGATCGTATGGAGCTGGGCGTGACAGGGAGAGGCCAGACAAACTATAATCTAAGAACGACCCCTAGTGAGGTGTACCAAGAAGTAGTGGCCGTTGATGACCACTTGGTGGCCCAGATGAATTAGACTGAATTAGGCATTAAGCACCCAAAGATGCTCTGTGCCTCAGGAGGGGGAGGGGAAACTTTGTCGGTATCGTTTTGCGGCCGGGGGGTGCTAGCTGATTGTTGAGTGGTGGGAAAAAAAAAACTTAAGAAATTTCTTAACCTGGAGGACAAACCCTCTCTCTCACTTCTTATGGTGGGTGCCATCCTCTATCTAGGGTGCATGTTGTTTCTGCTCATGTGTGTAATTTTCTTGGATCAGGTACCCGTGTCAGAATGGGCATCTAGGGGGGAGGGCTGGAAGATTTATCGATGCTAATTTTGAAGATGAGCCTCTGACCTCTTCTGACCAGGACCTCTGACACTCACTTGAATGACTTGTTGCCAAGCGTGAAGCATCAGAGATGATAATCAGCACCTCATAATCCAAGGCCATGATACTCTCTAGGAAAAGAGTGTATCGCTCCTTTCAGATGAGGGGGAGGGTCCGCCATCAGTGAAGGCACTGAAGTACCTTGAGGTCTAGATAGTAATAGGGAACAGGAGATTGACGGGCGGATCGGTTCGGGAACTGCAGTTTCCAGGGCATGGAAGACGGCCATTTTGTTGAAGTGGGAGTTAAGTTATAAGGTGAGACTCGCCGTTTAGCAGTCAGTCTATGTCCCTGTTCTCACCTTTGGTCATGATCTGTGGGTAATGACCGAAAGAACAAGGTCGCAAGTACTAGCAGCTGAAATGAGGTTTCTCCTCAGGGTTGCTGGACTCAGTGTCTGTGACAGGGTGAGAAGTTCAGAGATCTGGGGTGGGGGTTGAAATAGAGCCACTGCTCCTGCAGATGGGGAGGTGGTTTGGACATCTTATAAGGATTCCACCTGGATGGCTCCCAGTGGAGCTACTCCGGCACACAGAGGTGGAAATGTCAGGTCCAGAAAGTAAAAATCCAGAACAAGGTTTTGCTTCATCCAACCACTTGAATACTCTGTGACTGTGAATCTTTATACTCATCTGGTTGGTAGAAACAAAATTTTGACTTTTTGGACCTGAACTTTCCACCTCGACAGGTATATCCCACAAGGGAGGAGCACCAAGAAAAAAACTCAGGACAGGATTATACAGGGTGTCCATAAAGTCTCTTTACAATTTCAAACATTTATTACAAAGGCAAATGAAAAGAGAGATATGTGGAAAATATTACAAAATGAGACGCATATATTTAAGGGTTTTTTGCCTCATTAAATACACCTCTATATGGGCACCATTAATTGCACGAAGCACATCAGGACGGTACTCGATTCCTTGCCATGTTCGCTGTAGCATACCCTCAGCAATGGTGACAATGGCATCAGTGATCCCCTGCTTTAGATTAGTGATGTCCTGTACCTTTGTTTGCAATGTGATTAAAAACTTTGATAACCACTGAGTACATAGAACAAATCTGGTGAGGATATCTCATCAATTGCCTTTGTAATACATTTTTTTGAAATTGTAATGGAGACTTTATGGACACCCTGTATTCTGGGGAGGGAAAATGGTGATGATGATGAAAGTAGTTTAATTTGGTATATTGGCTCAAATACTACAATGTTAAAAGAAAGTTACACTTGAGTATAGTGCAAAATATGTGCTTTTTTGTTTTTCTGATTGTGTACTTCAGAAACATATGTCTGGAAAAATATCACACATGTAACACCCGCTGCTTGGTTGCCAACAGCATGAAGGTGAAGCATGAAGCAATTTTCTAGACACTTCCGTGAGTTATCAGTGATCACTGGTCTATTAAGTCCCATCTAGGGGTCATGTGACTGAACCTGAGTGTATTCCGGTAATGAAGCGGCCAACGATGATCATTTCTGGTGAGCTACATATCTTGCTACAGCCCATCAGCGTTCCACCAAGAAAGACCAGCACTGTCGAGTTCACCAGAGTCCCTTTCCTGCAAAACACACAGAGTCTGCAGTCATAAACAGGCCACACTCTATTAATCTGAGGTGCTTTATTGTCAGGATGAGCCCGGCTTTAATGTAAAAATGTAGGGGATTGACTTTCCATGACTAAATCAATATGTAAGACTACCAAAACTCGATGGAGCATCCTGTCAGCTAATAAATCCCAAGGGGAAGTAAACTTTACTATCACATTTGATTTGTTTCGCATCATACTCACCTCATATGCAATAACATTAAGCTGTGGAATAATTTAATAATTATTACCAAATAATTTGTACATTACAAATATTATATCACTTATATTCATTTCAACACACTCGTGCACACACACAGTATTTCATATTATATACACACACATACATACATACATACACACACAATAAATAAATGTATATAATTTCCCATTTAGGATGTAGGAGATACACAGGCATGTGCAATTATTATTTTTTTAAACTTTATCTATTATTATACATTATATAATACATAATACTACAGGAGTCCCCAGGTAACAAACAAGATCTGTTACCTAAGTCTGTCTTTAAGTCGAATTTGTATGTTAGCTGGAAGAAGTACACCAGATTATATAATGAACGCATTTCATTTATACATATGGTACTGTACTGTACCTCAAGCTGACGAATCGCTGATGCTGCACAATGTTTTCACAAGCCTCCCAAAAAAGTGCATGCGTTCATTTTTACGAACCATTCTATTTAACCCCAACTTTTAGCATAATAAGCTTTATGGTAGCCTGTTGGTAAGTATGAGTTGTCCGTAAGTTGGATGTTCTTAACCAGGAGAGTGCCTTTACTTTCATTCTTTCAACTTTTTTAAAAATAGAACACCAGAAGTCCTAATGTCATCGAGTCCTATCAGAACCTATGCTATTTGGAAAACCATTAAAAAAAAACAAAAAAAAACAGGGATTTTACCTCAAATGTGAACCTGAGATGCTGATACAGGGATCTACAACAGCATTGCTTTACCTTCCATATTTGGAGACCAACATGCCAACCAGCAGAGATCCCAGGAGACCCCCGATGGCAAACACAGACACGGTGATGGAGTACATGAGCGTGAGGGTCTCCTCGCTCACTCCTGTGCCGCCTCGGCTCACGATGGTGCGATTGTAGAAGTCCTTGATGTACTAGTTTGGGAAAATGTTAATAACAACATACTGTAGTGCCAGCAAGAATTAGAATACTGACACTTTCTCATGTAAAAGTGAAATGAAACCTCACTAGACATTATAAATCTTTACAATTTAAAAACAATTTAAAAACTTCTTGCATGTATCTAGGTGCTAAAATTATGAGTATGAAGCCCCCTTGAAATGAACTTCAGCCCCCTCCCTGCTGGCAAAAAGCCCCCAAAATAGCTGAAATCTACTAAGGGACCCCTTTAGTCGGCAAAATCTACTGAGAGAAATCTACTGAGTTGCCTGACCCCGCAAAAATTAAATTTTTGGCTATGAGTTTTTGCTCCACCCGGTCCTGAATGCAGTACGCTAGTTACAGGTGTGGTCAGTAAAAGGGGGGAAGTTAGGACGATTCTAAGGGCCACTGAGTGAAAGGTCGCCCTAAAAAAATTGGCACATGATTGGTCTGGGGCCCAATGTGATAAGCTTTCCTGGGGCCCAAAATCCCTAGTGGTGCCCCTAGGTGTGATCATTCTTCATAGCCACTCCCAGCTCCAGATTATCCTAATGCCTATTCGTCCACACACACACAGCAATCGATATATTTAACCTTCTTCTGATCAATGTCCATTGGCTTGGTTTTTCATACTTAGTCTGGGTGGTCTGTCTCTGGGTCTGGTTTAATCAGTTTTTGAATCTGTTTCTAGTCTCCTAATTATCTGTTTCTTTTAATATTAATTTGTTACATTTTTTTCTCGTTCTGATCTTTGATTCATTCTTTGATTTCTAGTTTTACTTTATGTGTTCCTGTTTGCCGATTCTCTGACCTTGCAGAGTTCTGTGACCTTGACTTGTCCCCTGACCCATTTGCATGTAGTATCTTGGGGGCGACTCAGCCCACTTGGCCACATACCCTGTCAGCGCTGAGTACTCAGAGGCTTGCCTGCTAAAGAGGACAGAACTGACAGGCAAAAAACCAGGCAACGCGGGTGTTTGCAGTTTTTGGGTATGCCCTTTGGACTGACAGTGCACCGTGCTCCTTAATGAAGTTCTTTGCTTTCACTTAGTCCTGCTGTTGTGACAAATTTGAAATAGAGGCAAATGATTTTCTACATTTATTCATGGAACAATCCAGCACTAATATAAGTCATAAAAAACACAGCTGTCTCAGGACAAAATCTCACCATCAGATCAAGTATATTATTACAAAGTCACATTGAAGACACATTGTCTTTTTCTAAGCTAAACATAGTGTTTCAGTTCCTAAAATAACATGCCAATTCCAAAAAGCTACCCTTTAAAAGCTTCATAAATCACTTCTAATTTTTTTTATACTTTTTACTCATTTAAATTGATTCATTGTTCTGTTTGCATGAAAATAGCAAAAGATACGGTCCAGAGGAAAACCACAGGTCATGTGACTTCTTCCAGTCTTCCCATGTGACTTTTACTCCTTGTGCATGTGACTTTTACCATGTGACTTTTACCCCTTCAGCATTTCCAGGTGAAGAACAAATTAGATCTGACTGCCTCGGAATTTTCATACATTTCTATTTCCTATTTGTTCAAGGAGGGGATCGACGTGTTGCCAGTAATAAGTTATCAATCCGAGTTCTCGAGGTTGAACTGAATGGACTGAACAATGTCTACTCTGTCTTCCAGGGCTTCTTCTAACACTTCAAACCGTGTGACTTACTGGCAAGAAGTTAAATATCACCAGGACATTCCTTGGATTTTTTTCTTCAGCAACAACAAGCCTGATTGTTATTCAGGACACCGTGGTTGGCTCTCCTGCTCATTTCCTCCATGGACGACCAGTTCAATCAAAGAGCAGACATTTACTCTGACCCTGTAGAGTTCCACACTGTTCATTTAGTTGTGATTGTCTTGTGTGCCTATTTGTTGACTGTTGGACTGTAAGAGAGCGTGCCACGTCTCAGTATATCGGAGAGTGATTTCCAAGCATAAGGGCACTCGTTCTTTCCACTATTTCAAACATCCTTCTGTGGAAGGTCTCTTTACTATCCAGAAATGCTAAATAACACCTAGCTGGAAACAGTTCAGCTTAAGATAAACTAGAAGATGCAGTGAAGTCCCACACACACCTGGCAGGATGTCTGTCACATGGTTTCTCCCCAGTGGTTTGGAGAAACACTGGCTGAACGTCATTAAAAATACATAGAATAAAATTCCATATCCCTACATAATTAAATAAGCGGCATCACGTGATGTGACTTTTACAGTATGAGCTATGACCTCACTAGAAAACGATGTTGTGTAGAGATTGTACTAAAATAACCTTACCATATCCCAATGATGCACGGTGCCTATCAGCCCAGTGTAAGCAAACGTAATATGTCAAGTAAGATTAACTGCTGCTGCTGTCATGGCATCATAAATCAAATCTCGTGAAACATATATTCACTCAACATAAACAGTTCACACTTGAGATCAACTTGCTTTACTTCCTTAATGTGAATGAGAGGATGTGATTTTCTCTTGTTCTAGAAATTAAGGAATCAGATCTATTTAGCTCTATTTTAATGTGTTGACAAAAAAATAAAGAATTGATTGCATTAAAAATGAACATTTTAAATGTGCCTGTGTGTTTATAAATACAAGATATATAAGTAAAAAAAACATGCAAATGAAAAACAAATATATACAAATAAACACTCCATCTGAAAGTGATGGTTCAGACTCAAATAACCTCAGCAAAATATCTTACTGCCTTTTTTACGTTGCTGCTAAATTGGACTTTGGGAGAGTACTTACATTGGCTGGTGAGTTCACGACGGCCAGATTGTAGCCGAAGAGCATGGAGCTGCCGAAGGAGGAGAGCAAAGCCACAGCCAGCAAAGACGAGGTGAGACGCTGTAAGCACAGCAGCACCGTCAGGGGTCTGACAATCATAAGCGACTCAGAGCCTATAGCTTTCTCCTGTGATTTTATATGGAATTTACAAACATACATCTGCTTCAACGTAAGCATTAAGCATTAATAATTCTCAGTAATATTTTCAACTGGGTGGCGGGGGTCGGAACCAGATGACTGGAGCTGTTATCGATTAGCTACACCTGTCCCTCGTTATCCTCAATATGAGGAAACTGGTGCATTCTCTATTATTTAGGCTGGTATATGCTTACCTGTCATCAGAATTTAACATTCAGTTTAACTTTCAATTTCCCAGCTGTCTGTATCTATGCAGGAGTGTGATATGAACATCAAATGAATCTGTATGCTGTACTGTGACATCTGGACATTTATGTACATGTACTGTATATATTATTAAAGTTACACTGCATGTCTCAGTGATAATGTATGATGTCGAATATGTTTAGCTGGTAAAATTGTATTAACACCTAAAAGGAATTCACTGCTCTAAATGTATATATGAAATTTTTACTGTAATGCAGACTCTGATTCACAAATTCACAAAATATGGACCGGCACCTTAACTTATTTTATTATTTCTGCGTGTATTTCACATCATATTTCTTTAACTGTACAAATGGCTCAGTTAAACAACTTAATTGGTTCGTTAACTTTATTAGCTATTGATCAGTCAAACAAGGTGCACTGATGGTAACACAGAGGTACACTTGATGGTTGCTGCAAATCCTGGGGTGACTTGACAGGAGGTTTTGAAATAGCTCCACTGACAGACATCATGAATAAAAGTCACAATTGCACACCAACTGCACCAACCTAAATAACAAAGCTAGTTTTGTTTGGAGGCCTAAGATTTTTTTTACACAGCACTATATTATATGTAAAATATAAATACAGTAAGCAGGATGAGAGGTTATACGAAGCATTAGAAGGCTTTCCAAACATTTTAAGGACAGGGCACATTATGATAAATACCTCCTGTCATGGTCGGCTACATCTCTAAGCTGCCATTCATCTTTGCTGCAAAAGGTCAAAGGTCCAAATCTTTTGTGCCGCAAGATACATCACAGCCCTGTGCCATTACTCACAAAACTTGTGATATGATCTACATGCATTGAATTAAGACTTACTAATCCAGACACTTCATCCAATGCTATAAATTAAGGCAAAATGTGTATATGGTCTAATGGTAGCCTACCGCATAGGATCTGGCTAATATCGTGAGAAGTGAATGCTCTCATAAAAACAAATGGAAATACAGAGGAGGACCTGACTGATGGTTCTGAACCATAAAACCGAGAGCTTGATTAATGACGTAAAAGCTATAATGCTTCGTCTCCGTGCTAAACAGGAAACAAGACTAGTATAATAGCACAACATTAGCACACGCGACGCGGGTTTGCATTCACTGTCTTATCAAAGCAAGAGGTGACTGACTTACAATAGAAAAGATCACACTGTTTGGAAGCTTAACTTAATTAATATAGCATCCATTGGAAACACATGTGATTGGACATGGTTAAATTTGCAGACGACACCAAGGTGGGTGGTGTAGCAGATACTAAACTAGCAGCACAGAGGCTACATCGGGATCTTGATTTAATTAGTGACTGGGCTGATACCTGGCAGATGAAATGTAACGTAGATAAATGTAAAGTAATCCATGTAGGGAGCAGAAATATAAAGTACAGATATTTTAAGGGTTCCACTGAAATAAAGGTAGCGGATTATGAGAAAGACCTCGGTGTGTATGTTGATGCTTCCATGTCCCACTCTCGCCAGTGTGGGGAAGCAGTTAAAAAGGCCAATTGAATGTTGGGTTACATCTCTAGGTGCGTGGAGTTGAAGTCAAGGGAGGTGATGTTACATTTATACAATTCCTTGGTAAGACCCCACCTAGAGTATTGTGTGCAGGTTTGGTCACCATATCTTCAAAAGGGCATTTCTGCCTTGGAAAAGGTGCAACGTAGGGCTATAAGAATGATTCTTGGTCTTAGAGGAATGTCTTAGGAGGAGAGGTTAGCTGAGCTGAATATGTTCAGCCTCAAGCAAAGGAGATTAAGGGGGGACATGATCCAGGTATATAAAATTATAACAGGTCTCGTTCAGCCAAATGGCTACTTCAATATTAGTTTAAATACTCAAACTCAAGGCCATAGGTGGAAATTAGCGGGAGAACATTTTAAACTGAATTTGAGGAAGCACTTCTTTACACAGCGTGTAGTTAGAGTATGGAATAGTCTTCCTGCTAGTGTAGCACAAGCTAAAACCCTGGGTTCCTTTAAATCAGACCTAGATAAGATTTTAACAACTCTGAGCTATTAGTTAAGTTCTCCCCAAACGAGCTTGATGGGCTGAATGGCCTCCTCACGTTTGTAAATTTCTTATGTTCTTATGTCTGGATTAGCCTATGAAAACCCACAGGGATGGTTCTGAGTGTGATGTTCAGAAGCCTGCAATATTCTGTCAATAGAGACGGAGAAAACTAACAGCTTGTTCTTGAAATTAGTTACTACTTTTGTGACATATATTTACATCCTGCAGCTATTGCCTAAAGTGTTTTAGGTACAATTCTACATATGATTATTTTTCAAGTTTGACAGAAAGATATTAACCTCCATTATCCATCCATCCATACACACATCCCTCCATCCATCAGCTCCAATCACTTATGGACTACAAAGATATTTTAATCTTTAATTAAGCAGACCAAACAAACACTTTCAGTGTGAGCCATGGGATAGCTGTCGAATTTTCTCTCTTGAAGAAACGCAGTATGGAATTTTGACGTTGTTAGCTATTAAATGACCTTCATCAGAAACTCAAAATGTGTCCGTTTTTGTATGAGCAATAGCCGAGCGTCTGTATCATTTGTCATTTACTCCTTTAGTTGCAGCCTGTAACACATGATGCATAAAATGAGATGTAGCCTTTCCATCAACGGCTGTGACAGCATGCTGTCCATAGGGGGAAAGGACATTTATCACTGGTCATAATGGGAATTACAGTAATATCCATGAACAGGGACTGTCCAATCAGAGATGCTGGGCAGTACAGGGAATAGGGTAAGGTACAGGCTTTGGATAAGCTAATCACGAGCGGTCACACACACCCTATACATGCTGCAGTTTAGATTCACCAACAGGGGGGCCACTAGAGATTTTTGGCCCCATGAAAGCATCTCATACTGGGCCCCTAACCTAGACTAAATCAAATAACGTTCCAAATTTTTTAGGAATCATCCTCACTCTCCCCCTTTAAGGGACCCCTATTCACCAATAGAGGAACAAGGCATCCTAAGATGAGGGAAGGAAAATCGCTTGAAAATGGTGAGAAATTGCAGACTCTGGGCTGCATTTGATCTGGTACTGGTGACACCGGCTGCTAAAGACACAAAATCTGCCCAACAACAACTGGCACAGCGCCGAAGGATTAGCATATGAAATACTATAGCTTAAAGCAGAGAAAAGCGGGGGGGGGGGTCAGATTGTCCTGACAAAGATAGGACTACAGTGATACAATTTAGCACAGCAACAATGACACTTGCTTCTTTTCAACCCGAGCTGTGTTTCCAAAAAGCATAGTTGCTAACTATGTTAGGGTTATATATACAGTAACTAGAGCAGGGTTATTCAAATCACGGTCTTCGAGGTCCGAGCAATGCTGGTTTTCCAGCCTTCCAGTCAGGTGTGAAGCCTCTGACCAATCAGAATCAGTAATTATTAAACTAACTACCTGGGAGAACTGAAAACAAGGCCTGGATTTGGAATCGAGGTCCAGATTTGAAGAGCCCTGCTATAGAGAGTTGACTGGCAACCCGCTCAGAGCCAAATCAGGCAAGTTAGGCTTTGATGGTGACTCACGATTTTGGACTGTGGAAGGAAACCCACATCGACATACAAGGAACATGCAAGCAGAAACCAACCCCAGAAATCCAGACGTGAGAGGTCACCATTCAGCTCACAGAGACCCCAATCTTACAACACTCTCCCAGCATCAGCCGATTATTCAATTATGCAGGAATATGGAATTTCATTCTATGGATTTTTAATGACGTTCAGCCAGTGTTTTTCCAAACCACTGTGGAGAAACCATGCGACAGACATCCTGCCAGGTGTGTGTGGGACTTCACTGCATCTTCTAGTTTATCTTAAGCTGAAATGTTGCCAACTAGGTGTTAATTAGCATTGCTGGATAGTAAAGAGACCTTCTCCAGAAAGATGTTTCAAACAGTGGAAATAAAGAGTACCCTTATGCTTGGAAATCAGTCTCAGAAACCAATCAGTGACCTGGTGACCTGGTACCAGATCTGCATCTTTAATAACTGGAACAAAGATTAATCTGTTTGCATAGAAAGTCAAAACGTTTTATTGCCGCTTAAATACTCTCCTGAACAAGTTCCTTAATGTTCATAATCCTTTGAGCAATACTGCCTGCAACAGGCTATGTCACTAATGCCCCAGCCTGGCCGCATTTCCAGTTCATTTCCAGATAATTCCAGCTAATGTAGCATACCTCACTTCACCGTGCAGAGGATCAGATGCGTCTAGATTAGATTTATATGCCTAAAGATTAAAGGCAAAGCTTAGAAGCTGGAGGGTGCAGTGCAGTAAGAAGATGTGCAAATTCATAACTGAATAGCAGTGGTTAGGGGGACCCCTTTAAGGTTGTCATGGTTAAAATTGCTTCATAAAACTGCCAGGTATAAGTGCGTCTGGCATCAATCGTAGTGTTATAGTCTGGTCTGATTCACTCTTTACAGAGAATTCATAGATCATCATAAAGAATATGAATGTTATAAATATGACTGCTTAACTTTTTTGTTGAAATTTGAGATGCAATCTTTAAAACGGGTATAACAATCAGAACAAAGTTTGTTTCGTCAGCATTATCACAGATAACTTTAATTTTACCCATTTGTAGGTCTGCACATCTTGCTCGGCTAAAAATCCATACGAGAAAAAGATCACAGTGGCTTCCTGGACTTGAAAGGGGATCTTAAATGTTGTAAGAATATGATTTTAGCTAACATGCAGCAGGCAAACGGTTTGCATTCAGACGAAATATGTAATGTCACAGACTCGAGAGGTTCCAGCACAAGGGCGTGGTATCGTGCAGGCGGGTAACAGGAAGTGGAAAACCCACTGGCGGCTCGAAGAACAAACGGGGATTTATTAAACAGAAAAAACACTAGAAACACTTATAAAACAAAAACAGGCCACGAGGGGTCAAAAGTAAAAGGGGAAAAACAAAGACTAACTACAAATGGGGCAACATACAACATCAAAGATCAAACAATGAACCACACTGGGGAACTGAACTGAGGCAGGGACTTAACACTAAGGGGTAACGAGACTAACACAGGACAGGTGAGACTAATTAACAAAGACCAGGGAAACAGGCCACAGGTGAAACTAATAAACTAAAGCATGAAACAAAGTAGGAAACAGAATCTAACAATGGGGACAACAGACCAGCAAAAACACAATCAAGGGCAAAAAACCAAAACCGAATACAAATCAAAACACAGGGACTAGAAAACTGATTCAATTGAAACACAAGGGAACAAAATCTACAAACACAGGAGGTGGGATTTGAACATGCGGCAAAGGGATTTGCAGGTAGCTGCATGCTCGACACGTTGAGCCATGTGGCTGACAGGCAGCTGAGGAAAACACAAAGACTGAGAGGAGGGACGGGATGGTCAGCGACACCTGCTGGCCAAACGGGGAAGGGACAGGAAAGACTGGGACAAATAGGAGCTGACCCTGACAATTTAATGGTTAAATATGCCCACTCCTCCATCTTCTGGAGTCTATCCCAGGAGGCATTGGGCACATACAGTAGTAATATATGTGTAATACAAAAATAGTGAGTTATGAGCAGACGTCATCGTCCCTTGGAATGGGAAGCCTGTCCAACATGAACTATTCCACAGAAACGCTTATGAAAGGTGGTGTTAGAAAATATGACTTCCAAATAAATTGAGTTATATTGAGTTTTCAGTGTCATGACCTGCTTGTTCGATCCTCGTGTGTGCCACGCCCACCTCGTTACCTCATGTTGATTCCCGATCGTCATCACCTGTTGCCTATTGTTTTCTGCCTATCCTGTGTATTTAGTCCGCTTCTTAATCAGTATTCCCCAGTCCGGTCATTGACGTTGTGTTGCTGTTCTGCTTGTGCTGCCCAGTCCGTCCAGAATAAACCTCGTTTGCTTGACTCCCCGGCTCGGCTCGCTTGCTTCCCCGCTCGCCCGCAAGCCGTTACGACATTCAGGCAGTGTAATATATTAATTGCTTTACTACAATTATTATTATCATTGTCATTGCACAAGATCACACATTTAGACAAAGAGTTACATTATCTTGCTTTAAGGAGTGAAAACACTGTCAAATTTTTAATCTAAACTCATTTACTATTATCAGCTTCGATGTGCTGTAAGTAAACTCTGAGAAAAGAGTACCAATTTGTACCTTTGCTTGTCACTGGGGCTGTACCCTCAAGGGTCTGCCAGTTGTGTCCTGTAGCTGTAGGTATATATACCCTTTTAGGTACAGAAATGGACTATGAGGAATATTTTTGTACATTAATGTTGTTTGTACCTTGGGAAGTCCATTTGTGTACCTTAAAAGGTACAGAATTTTATGGTACAGTCCCATTGACAAGCAAATGTACAATCTGGTACCCTTTTTTCTGAGAGTGTAAAGTGTAAAGTACTCTCGTTATTCGACACCTTGAGTGTTTCCATTAATACCGCACTAGAGAGATGTACAGTAAATAAGCGCACAATAACATCTGAAACGTGTATATTGCTACTTTAATTGGTTTTACAGCGCTTATTACTTACAAAAAATCTACATTATGAACTCCTCTGGATCGCCTAAAACAATCAGAATGGAACAACTGCTCATCATACAACATTAATTGTACTGCACGATAACACCAACACACCATCATCAATATAAACATCAGTCGAACAAATAAACCAATAAATCAACTCGTATAGCGACAGCAATCATTGCTTGCGCACTCTTCATGGATCACAAATGACACATTCTTTATGAATATAAATTAATCAAAATAAAATGAACTTATAAGCTGGAAAAGAACTATATCGTGTTTACGACTTACCCCTGAGCATTTCCCATAAGGTTGGAGTAGTAGTTCATCGGCCATTTACTACCAACTGCCTTTCCTAAACAATACAGAAGTTGAAAAAATGAAAGTTGTGCATTTTTAAAGTCTTTTTATACTGTTGCGGCACATACGAGTGGCAGGCGTGGTTCTGCGTGACTGACACGCATTACAGCCTCCCGTGCATTTCCTGAGCGCCTGGTAGTAATATTCATCAGCTCCGGTTATAACAACGTGTGACACGAGCTTAATCACATGAGGGCAGGCAATGTGATTTGGAAGGAAAAGCCAGAAATCAGGCAGCTTCAGTGAATTTGCGAAGTCTTGTTCTCGTTGTTTATGGTGTACGAAAATGGCAATATTTGGGCGGCTATGAGAGGATGTTACAATGCTTATTAGTAAACAATACCAGAAGAACAAAAAAAGCAAAACACTGAAGATGAAAAATGCACATGGTGTATTTGGAGTACTACATCTGGGGGTGTTCCACAAAGTAGAATTTCTTAGTTAGCTGGGTTAACTTAAACTAGAAGTCAGTATTGTCCAATAAGAGTTCAGGCAAAGAGCATTCATATTGGACAATCCTGACTTCGTTTAAGTTAACCCAGCTAACTGAGAAATTCTACTTTGTGGAACACCCCCCAATTCTAGAGAAAACAAAACAGAAAGGTAAAATCTGTCATTACAACTAGATACATTGCAATTAAAAACTACATTTGTTACAATCCGGGGCCCACATTCAAAACAAGACCACAGCGTGGTTTCTAATGGAGACCACTCTGTTTCATTATATGGATATATAACATGAATGACTGGCGAGCTTTACAGTAGTGTATACCTTTTTGTTAGGGAACTGGTCCAACTATATTTATAAAAGTAAAAGTAATTTATGTTTTATGAATTTAGAAAAGAATAGATAGATAGATAGATAGATAGATAGATAGATAGATAGATAGATAGATAGATAGATAGATAGATAGATAGATAAACAAAAAAATAAATAGACAAATAAATACTGAACTTGAGGTGGTTAAATGCTCAAATAAAATCTAAATCATCATAAGATAATAAAAGAATGATAATTTAATATCAAAATAATTCCAATGTAATGAGAACCTGGATTAGGTACCATTAGACCAGCCTGTCTACCCAAAGAATGGTGCCAGAGCAGAAGTACTGGACCAATTAGAGGAAAGAACATTTCAACTTGTCAGTCTGCAGCAACGTTAACCATGCAAACCGTGTACAGGGGGCCTTATGGCCAGAGTGGATGCAATGTAACAGCATGTGCTGGTAGAGGAAGGTCACTGCTGGGGGGCTCCCATCCGCAGTGCTTCTGAGGACAGCAGAGTGCGGAAGGCTGAGACAAAGACTTGCTTTTCACTGGGAGGTTGGATGTGACATGAAGCAGGTGTTGTGAACACTGTCAGAAAATAGGGTACAGCTCTAGTACGGTTTTGTTCCCCATGGTACAATCAACATTAACATACCCCTAATAGTACAAAAATGTTCCTCAGAGTCCATTTCTGTACCTTAAAAGGTACATTTACCTACAGCTAAGGGTACAATTGGCAAAACCTTAAGGGCACAGCCCCAGTGACAAGTAATTGTACCCTGAAGCCCAGATGACAATTGAAGAGCAAATTTCTCACTCAGTCCTCATGATATGCTTTTGGAAATTTCAAGAAAGTTCTTCATTGGATTAAATGAGGACTGAGTATGTTTTGGTTCGCAAAACACTGTAATATATGATAAGGAAGCCTGACTTTAGGTCATTGGCGGTCTCATCTGAAACACAGCAAAAAACAGACCGAATGAGTTTTGGAAAATTGCTCTTCAATTGTTTCAATTGCTGTAGAAGGTTCTACCAATCATGTACTGACTCACGTAGTGTAAATACTTGTTCAGCCATAAATGTCCTTTAAAGAAATTCATCTTAAGAACCTGCTGGGTAGGGATGGTTCAGTTAGTCCTGTCCCTGCTGCCTTTAATTTCTCAGTTAAAATTTGAATAGTGTCACATGTATTTCATAATATAGCATGAATGCTGTATTTCATCATTCCCATACGGAATACATAATTATGAAATACATATTAGCTACAGATATATTTTTCATAGATACTGTTAACATTGGACTCGGTTTGCATATCAACAAAGATGAGCGTGACCGCTGGGTGGGATCACATGATCACGGGCCTCGTCAGCGTGTTGGGCCTGCAGTGCTCATATGGCTTCCTGCTGCGGGGCCTTTGCGTGATATATAATCACCCCAGATCAGTAAGTCATGGGACTCTTACATTCTGAGGTTGTAAAGGGATTAAGGAGAATTAACAAATAATATGCTTAAAAGCACAGGTGTGCCATTTAGAAACTTTTTGTTTGACTGAACATTTTTGTGAGTTTGTTAGGTGCCCCTGATAGAATATATTACAGCACATTAGCGAATTACATATTAGTCATGTTCTTACAATACCCTAGTTTTTTTATTCTTATAGACCATTACTCATTAATAGTCATTTTTACGGTTCCATGCTTGTTTTCTATAATGCTGTTTTAATTCTGAACTTGTGCGCATCTTGTTAATCAATGGCATGCCAATATGGACAGAAAAGAAAAAATATAATCATAAACAGCACCATAGATATAAGGACTGATACTTTCTATGATTGAATGAATGGTACGTTTACATAGTGCTTTACAGAACCAATTGGGAGCCACTTTAACCACCACCACTGTGTAGCCCCCACCACTGTGTAGCCCCCACCTGGATGATACGACGGCAGCCATTCTGCACCACTACACAGTAGCTAAGGGCAAGCAGAGAATTCACCAGTTAGATATAAGGGATGATTAGGAGGCCAGATTTGATGGGGCAACAGTGGGCAATTTTAGCCAGGACATCAGGGTATGTAACAATGCATTATGTAATAATGCTGCATTATGTAATAACTCGACAAAATTTAACAAATTTTCAACACATAATGCGATGTTATTACATAATGCATTGTTACATACCATGCATAATGTAATAACTCGATAAAATGCTACAAATTTATAGACTACATTATTATTTTACGTCGCAACATTACCGTGTTATTATTATCATCATCATTCAATTTGTCACATTCTGTCGAGTTATTACATAAAGCTTTGTTACAGGGTACCCCCCCCCCCCCCCCACCCCGCTCTTTCAAAAGATGCCCAAGGATCTTTTATTTATGTCATCAGAGAGTCAGACCACAGACCACAGGGACGGGCTGATGAGTTGGCCACACCAGCACCTCTTCCAGCAGCAAACACACTTTCCTTGTTGGTTTACCATCCAAATACAGGTACTTAGTTGGCCATCAAGTGATGCCTTACCACTGCACTGTGGTGTTTGCAGAACTCATATTTTACAGCAGAGTTTATACTCATACATTAAAAAATCACAGTCTGGAACTCAGCACAAAGGAAACCTTAACTTAATCAATATAGCCAAGACATCTGATTGGTTAACTCTCTGAACCAATCATTTTTCCTTCTGCCCTAAGAACATTTTTGTGAAAGTAAAACGTCCCATGAGGCTAGGATCATCTCAAACCTGTGCGGGATAAATGGTTATAAAATGAAAAAAGCAGATGAATAGAGATGTATGTAATTAAATAACACTTTTGGCAATTTTATGGCAATGGTCCTGAAATATCATAGTAAATGATTATTGGTGTGTCTAAGTACTACTGCAAAGACAGTTACATTAATGTTCATGCTGAAATGAATGTTAATATGAAGTGTTAGGATTACCGCATTGGAAGGCCTGCCATTCAACAACAACAGGGCAATCTCATCTGTTTTACAGTCGTTATGCTCCTGTCTCCTGGTAGCTGTGGCTCTCTATGACCTCTGAAGCTTCCTCCGTTCCAAGAATTTCATCGTGCCTGTGCTCCAGCTCAACAAGCGGCAAGCATGATGCTCAGTGGAGACAATCGATGGTCTGTGCTCCAGACCATTGGGCTCAGAAAGCGAAAACAACACGAGGACGACACTTCCCTCATATCCTATTAATATTTGTTGTCATTTGCTGTCCCCAGATCGAGTGCAAAAGGAAAAACATACATTTACCCACATATTAAGCATGTTGCTGATAATAATTTATTGACTTTTTATCAATTTCATAAAGAAGTGCAATATGTTTCATAGCTACACAATTGGCTTACGACAAACTCCAAATAAAATGGAAAATGAAACAGTCATATGTTAGCTATTTGTGACTTCAAAACTATAATCAAGGAACACAGTTGGGTAAAACTTTCTTTACTCAAGAAAACTTAGTAACTGAGTTACTACTCAAGTACAAATCATGAACAAATATATTAACTGCATGAAAGACACGTGCCATTATGGTTGAGTAATGAACATGGGCTTAGTACTTAACTAATACTTAGTTTATAGTTAATTAATATGTTAAGTAAGAGTGTACTACTATATTATTTGTACCCCCTCAAGTAAAGTGTTACTCACAATTTAACATTAAAACATATGTAAATTAGCAGTAAAACAATAAAAAATAAACAAGAATTTCTTCTTTTCTCTAAAAATTTACTGATAACTACAGCTAGATGAACACCGTTCCCAAACCTCTCCTCAGGGGCACCTCTGCCATTCCAGATATTTGTTAAATTTCACCACCAGCTCAATTAATTACCATAAGTTAAATAACTCAATGGGGCATTGATTAGCCTAACATGGTGTGGTCATGTCAACAAAATACATAAGTGTATTGATGGTTACTGCAAGTACCAGGGTGACTTTAAAAGAGACTTTGTAATGGTTGACACAATTTGACAGACATAATGTCATAGTTTAACACAAAGGTGAAGATCATTTAAATATAATTTTCCTTGACTGCTTAAGGTATTTGCACAGTACTGTATAGCTGATACTGAAACATTCTTCTCTTTCTCTCACCACCTATCTCATTTGCTCTGAGGGCAGAAGGAAAAATAATTGGTTCAGAGAGTTAACCAATCAGATTGTAGAGGAGGTGGGTCCAAGCAACTAGAGGAGGTGAGACCAAGACATCTGATTGGTTGGTCCCGCCTCCTTTAATTGCTTGGACCCACCTCCTTTGAACCATCATTTTTTCATTCTGGCCTGAGAACATTTTTGTGTATGTAAAACTCCCAAGAGTGTCTCAGTTCCTGAAAAAGTCTGGCTGATTATAGAAACAGTTCTTCAGATTTACTAATGAGGTCCAACTCATGAAATTCTCTTGAGAAA